TAGATGGGACAAAGTACATCAGCGTGAAATACCTTGGCTTTAAACAGAAGAGCTTTCTTTTCCAAGCTCTTATAAAAAAACCCATGGAAATGCAGAAGCAAAGTGTGGAATACGTGGCTTCTAAAATTTCTTCATTCAGAGAATCCAGGAAGCTTTTTATTATTTTTTCATTATTTGTTCAAAATGTTTATTTGAGACAATATTTCTTTCCTTTGATATATACAGAAGTTTGGATTGGTTCCAGGTCAGGACAACAATGGTGTGCTAAACACATAGGAGCTCATGAGAAAGGAGAGAGTGTTGGTTTTTCTCAACCAGCCAACTTGGTTAGTAATGAAAACAGCAGAAAAGAGACAGGTTTAGACATGAAGAAAAGGTAAAGAAAACAGTTAGTATGTGTGAGTAGGTTTTTTTTTTAAGAAAAGGATAAACTTGATTCATCTTTAATGGAAAGTGCACTTGTAACAAACCAATCAATGAAGATTAAATGAAGAATAACAGAGAGTCCTGAAAAATGCAGAAGTGGAGAAGTGAACACAATAGGAAAAAATATGACTAATTTCACATGTGTTTTCATTTCCTTTTAGAAGTTATTGACTGAACACCTACTTGGGAAGCAGAATGCAGTATCATCAAAGAGGTTTCTGAGATTGTCTCATTTTTAATTGTGTTTTATTTTTTTTCTTTTAGAAGTGGAACTGAGCCTATCAACTGTAACTGAGTTTTAAGAGAGCTTTACATGTCTAATGTCATTGGTTTTGATTTTCAGCTGAAAATCCATGCGTATGCTCACGAAATGAGAGAATATAAACAACGCCTAATGCTTGAAATGGAAGTAATTTTTTCTTTGCAGAATTCAAATCATCTCTTCATTTTTGTTTCTTGCACCTACCACCTTCAAGCCTGTTTTCTCTTCTATAATCCCTGTTGGTGGTGTAACTGCAGGTATATTAAATTTTTCAAAAGACTTGAAGCCTGTTTTACGATTCCACGGCATTTTTCATCAGCTGGGGACCCTTCTTCAGTTTTTAAATTTTGAACTACATATAACATGTGGCCTTCCTTACTCAAACACTGTCTGGTCTGTGGCAGCCAGTAGCGCAGGTGTCTGAGAAAGCATCTTCCGCCACCCCTACTCCCGCTACGTGGATATTACAGATCTTGCCTCTCTTACTCCATGTTGGGTAGGACCAGGAGCTGGGTCATTCCCTTGTCTCTTCACAGCTCTGAGAATCCTTATGACCATACTGCTGGCAACAAAAAGCATTTTCCTGCCTTGCTGAAGCAACTGGCTCTTCCTCTTCCCTTTCTTGTCCCTGAACTGAGTCTTGGTGTCTGTATTGAGGTGACTGTTCAGAAGTGACAGAATTAATTTGGGAGATGGGATGGACTTTGCTGTTTGCCAGAGCTCTACTCCCTCAGGACTAGCTGAAAACTCCGCACTAACCATGAGACTGATGGGCATCTCACTCCCCTGATAAAAGCCTCTGTGTTCTGTGGTCCCACAGCAGTATGTGCATTTGAGTTCTTATGCTTCACAGAAGTGCCTACCAACCTTGCTTACATACTATACACACTATGAAGTCACTCCCTTGTCCCTTGAACGACTGCTGGTTTTCAGGCCAGACGCTTTCTGCAGTGGTGGTATGTGTAGAGGCATGTCGGTTCTTCAGCCTTTGCACCCAAGGCTGTTCTTGTGACCATACCTTGCTTTGTTTGGGGAGGACCCAATTCTGATTTTTCAGCTCAGGATCTTAAAGTAGTAAGGAGCTGAAGTCCTAAATAGGAATTAAGAGTTTAAGTATTTCCTGAATCTGATGTGACGTATTTAAGGAGGCTTTAAAATCGCTCATGACCAGATATTTCATTGCCTATATAAAGGCATTGTAAAATTTTGTGGTTAGTTTATCATGCACACTAAATTTTTGTGTTTCTTGTTCCAGTATATTTATAATCAAATATAATTACTGTTTAAAGATTATTGTTAGTGTGAGGCAGCCTTAATGCTGTTCCTTTTTTCCTCTTTTTTCTTTTTTTTCCTTTTTTTTTTTGTGTACTTGATAACCACATGGTGTGAACATCAAGACTGCTTTCTCTTTTAAATAGTAGGTAAGTACAAAGTGATTTAGTTTACCTTCTTTCAAGAAATAAATGATAAGCTGTTTCTAGACATTTTGAGGAAAATAACAAGTATTTCCTGGTGGGTGATTTATATCCCCATAACTTTCACCTCCACCTCAAATGACTAGAACATAAGATGACTGAACATTTTTAAAGAGTTTTGTATTATTTGTTGAACGGGAAATATGCTGCTATTGGGGACTTACTATAACAGGGTTTCCTGGAAGCTCATCATGAGACAGGAGTTTGATATCTCAGTGAGTAGGAACCTAAGCATCAACGCAACATTGTCTCCTACTGGCAGGAGTGTTTCCTTGAATATGCTGTCTCTTTTATTTGGGTACAGTCTTAAGTTTGGTTCCTATGGATATTTGTGTATTATTCTTTTCTTCCCTTTTTCTTCTCTTCTCCTTTCTTTCACCTCTGCTATTTTTTTTTCCTTCAACAAGAGAATCAGCGGACATACGTATGTTTTTTTGCACATAGTTCTTGCTTTGCTTCTTTTGACTCCTGGCGTTACATCCTCATGAGCAATTTTCATGTTGCCCTGTGGGATTAAGAACAGGAACAAAATATCCATGTGGTGAAACTCACTAGATGAATTCCCTAGAAGGGCTTATTTTCCTTAAACAGCACCAAAAACAACTTTCAAATTTTTTCTTCTGGAATGTCTTTTGCTCAAAACCCTAGGGAGAGAAGACATGAAAGATTGATGCCTGTTTTTCTTAGTCAGACCATGGGAAGCATGCTTTGCTTGCTTTCCAAGTTTGGGTATGCAGGGCATTTGGGAACAGTGTTAATACACAAAATGCTAGGCTGGCCTTACAAGCCCTGTGTCGTGGTTTAACCCCAGCCTGTATCTAAGCACCATGCAGCTGCTCGCTCACTGCCCACCCCGCTCCCCCGCTCCGCTAAGGGGATGGGGAGAAGAATGGAAAAAAAAATCCCCACAACAGAAGAACTCATGGGTTGAGGTGAAGATGCAGACAGTTTAATAGGATAACAAAGGAAGAGAATAATAATAGTAATATTAATAATTTATATAAAACAAGTGATGCACAAATGCAATTGCTCACCACATGCGAAAGGGAAAAACAACCCGATGTCCAGTCTGTTTCTTAGCAGCAATGCCACCTCCCAGCAGCTTCCCCAGTTATATATGGAGCATGATGTCATATGTTAGGGAATATCCCTTTGGCCAATCTGGGTCAGCTGTCCTGGCTGCGTTCTCCCAGCTTCGTGTGCACCTGGCAGGCCATGAGAAGCTGAAAAGTCCTTGACTTAGTGTAGACACTACAACTACCTAGCAACATCTAAAATCATCAATGTGTTATCAATGTTATTCTCATGCTAAATTCAAAACACAGCACTCTACCCGCTACTAGAAAGAAAATTAACTCTATCTCAGTCAAAACCAGGACACTCTGCTTTTCCTACCTCCTGGAAATGTTGGTTGATTTCCCTA